TTTAAAAACTGCATGTTGTGTTTACTTGTGTTATCTTTGACTAATATTTAAATTTGTTTGATGATCTGAAACATTAAAATGTGACAAACATGCAAAAAAAGAAGAAATCAGGAAGGGGGCCAACACTTTTTCACACCACTGTATTATACGTTTACTTAGCCTATTTCCAGTTTTGTATACCTATTTAAACTTTATGCAAGTTATTTGTTATTTTATATTAGGCATAGCCTGCCATATATGTATTTATATTTGTTTTGTTAATAAAAGTTATATGTTTTATTTATATGCTAAAGTGAGTTTGAAGTTGTATTTTGTTGTGGCATTCAAGCAATTGACGCTGAACTGCCGCTAATTCAAAAGTGAAAGTAAAATGCGCACGCAGCTTTCTATTTAAAAGCGACGGAAAGCGGGAAAATTCAAACGAACTAAAAACGAACAATTGCTTTATGCCGAATTGCCGCCATTTCAAAGTGAAAGTAAAATGCACACGCCGCTTTTACAAGCTATTTAAAAGCGAAGGAAAGCGAGGAAAAGAGGGAAAGCCCCCGCCCCGCCGGTGATACTGGTGTTGTCACGCGTTGATTAACCAGTGGGAAAATTTCCTCACCGTCACAACCCTACTCTGAAACTCTCTGCACACTACAAAATCTCCATAACAATTACCTGCAATCCCTGGAACCACCTGCACTCTATTAATTATGCTGATATAACTATTAATTATGATTAATTAGGGGGGGAAGTCGTGGCCTAATGGTTAGAGAGTCGGACTCGTAACCAAAAGGTTGCGGGTTCGAGTCTCGTACCGGCAGGGATTGTAGGTGGGGGGAGTGAATGTACAGCGCTCTCTCCCACCTTCAATACCAAGACTGAGGTACCCTTGAGCAAGGCACCGAACAGTGGGCAGCAAAAAAATGGCTGCGCACTGCTCCGGGTGTGTGTTTACGGTGTGTGTGTGTTCACTGCTGTGTGTGTGCACTTTGGATGGGTTAAATGCAGAGCACTAATTCCGAGTATGGGTCACCATACTTGGCCACATGTCACGTCACTTTCACTTTACTTTTGTCACTTTCCTATTTCCCCTTTGAGCTGATTCGCTACAAGAGGTTTCAAAAATATGTTTGTAAATGTGAGTAGGTGAACAAATATATCGATTGTTAATTCATATTGTAGAAATAAAGATTAGAGTTGGTGTTTACCCGTATGTACTGCAGCCAGTGTGTGGCATCTATGGCTGAATGCCAGTGTGGATCGTCGATGGTAGGGTAGACCACCTCCTTCAGCTTACGCAGAGACTCTCTCATAACATGAATGTTTGGGATCTCCAGGAAATTCAGGTCCATGTTAGGATAGAAATTTTCATTCTCATAACCTCCATCCTTAGCCTGAGGCATGAAAGAGCAGAACAGAGTAAAAGAAGATTCTTGGCTTCCATTTTCATCTCCTGACAGGATCTTCAGATGTACATTAGCACAGATGGCTACTCAGTAATTCAAAACTACATTTGCGCAAAACATAATGAGGGTGTGTGCATTAAGTTTGAGAAAGTGACACAAATCTTTTTCCTACATTTCCCCTAAAAATACTTAGCAGCATGTTATTTGCATGTACAGCAACACTGATGAACTGAACTGAAAAAGCATCACATCAAGGAAATAACCTTGTGATTATCAGCCACAATGCTCTGTCGAGCATCAAATATGGTGAGTTTATGGGACTGTGCATTGGCATCCATGATGGCCTGGAGGTAACGTTCATCTTCCTTACACCGGCGGTCTGTCGGGCCCACCATGGGCTGACTACAGCGAACTATAGTGGCCTGAGTTTCTGGGTGGATCCATGAGAGGACCTGAAAGAGAAAATGAGGCAAGGGAGTCCAGGCTGCTTTTGAATACTCACATGTCAATTATTTCAGTAGTTTTTAGATTCCCCCCCCCCCCAATTTTAATATATCTGAAAAACATTGTTTACTGCCAGTATTGTTTACTTGATTTCATTCTGTTGTTATTTTAGCATGAACAGCATTTAAAATTAACAAGTACCTGGGCAAAAATGCCACCGAAAGTGAAGAAAAATGCCCCAAATGTCATCATAGAGCCTTACGCAGACACAGCAGTAATCTGTAGCTGGTATACACACTACCATCCAAAAGTTTGAAGCCAGTAAGTAAATGTTTTTTAAAGAACATTTATTAACATTTCACATTTACAAGAACACCAAGACTGCATTTGCGTGATCATAAATGTGACCCTGGAACACAAAACCAGTCATAAGGGTAAATTTTTCAAAATTGAGATGTATACGTCATCTGAACGCTGAATAAATAAGCTTTCCATTGCTGTATGTTTTGTTAGGACAATATTTGGCTGAGATACAACTATTTGAAAATCTGGAATCTGAGGTTGCAAAAAAAAAAAATCTAAATATTGAGAAAATCGCCTTTAAAGTTGTCCAAATGAAGTTCTTAGCAATGCATATTACTAATAAAAAATGTAGTTTTAATATATTTACAGTAGGAAACTTACAAAATATCTTCATGGAACATGATCTTTACTTAATATCCTAATGATTTTTGGCATAAAAGAAAAATTGATTATTTTGACCCATACAATGTATTTTTGGCTATTGTTACAAATATACCCCAGCGACTTAAGACTGGTTTTTGTGGTCCAGGGTCACAAATACAGCAATATGAAATATCACTACAACTTAAAATAAAATGTTTTCCATTATTAGAAATGTTAAAACATAATTTGTGATTGCAAGCTGAACTTTCAGCAGCTATGACTCCAGTCTTCAGTGTCACATCATCCTTTAGAAATCATTTTTATATGCTGATTTGGTGCTCAAGAAACATTTTTTATTATTATCAGTGTTGCAAATAGTTGTGCCGCTTAATGTTTTTGTGGAAACTGTGATACAATTGTTTTAGGATTCTTTCATGAATTCAAAAGAACAGCACTTATTTGCTTGAAGTATTAATTTCTTCAAAACACCTTTTGAATGGTAGCGTGTCTGCATTCACTTTCACCGAGGAGTATGCAGTTGAATGTGTAACTAATATGAAATGCAGACAACCCTAGATTGCAATGTGTAAATGGAAAAAAACACTGGAAAAAAGATGACTTGTAAAGTAAGCTTGCACAGACACACACGCTCACTTACTGGTATGCGATGTTTTACTCTGAAAGAGACCACTCGTTTGATCTCATCCTCCTTAATACTGGTTGGGGTGACGAGCAGAGCAGGGTAAGTGTCACACACTTCATAATTACTGTTGATCTTACTGATGGTCCAGCTCTCGTTTGGCAAACCCTACACACAGTGTGAAGACAGACAAAAAGAGAAGAGAGAACTATATAAAGGCTGAATGAAGCCATATTATTCTCAATTTATGTATTCAGTCAGACAAGTCTATTCTTTTTCAGTGAAGTGCACGTCTCACCATTCTTTTATATTCTGCCACTGGATCATAAACCTTCCATCCATCCTCTGGAAACTGCTCTTTGTATTGGAAGGCGAATAGGGACTGGAAAAGATAAATGAACAAATGGATTGTGGAGACATGAACCAACTGTACTCAGATCTAGTGGCCAATCACTGCTCTGACCGGAGCCATGACATACCAGCTCATTGGACAGGGGGAAGGCATACTTGGTCAACACCTCCAAAATCTCCAGGTTACTCTGTTCTTCCTTTTTATAAGCAAACCTCGGACTCCTCATATCCTATTGAGACAAACCACAAATCATTGGTATGGCCAACTTGCAGTTTTTGAGGCTGATATCTAGAGTTTCATGACAGAACTTCGGATTCAAAATATTACAAAAGACCTCCATTCAAATAAATGCCGTTCCTTAAATTTTTTTGTTTTAAGAATCCTGAAAGAAATGTATCATGGTTTCCACAAAACTATTAAGCAGCATAACGGTTTTAAACATTGATAATAATAATAAATGTGTTTAAGCGCCAAATAAGCATTCAGCAGAAAGATTTCTGTGACCCCAAACATTTGAACAGTAGTGTATATACATTTAAATGAGAAGTGTATTCATTTATTGTACCAAATTGTGCCTAATACTGAATACTGAAAGGAAATCAATAAACAAGATGAACCAGTGGAGCTGATTATGATTATTTCCAGACGAACAGAGATGCATTGTCCATGAATCCGCTAAGACAATAATTACCCCTATAGACAGACTCTATCCGAACACTGACACTGAGCTCTGCATTGTGGGTGGATGTTTACTACAGGTGGAACAGACAAGCATGTGGGTGGATGGTGGTGAATCTAACCTTACAGACGATTTCCATGCCACTAGTATTCTCCCCAAGACTCTGTACACTGATAGTCTCCAACCTGCTGATGGTACTCAGGTTCACATCCAATATTAACGGTGTGTCCTGCAGAGAAGGATGGAATACGATGTTTAATGTCATTATTTGGGCATATAACACAATATTAAGACACTATACTGATTTTGACATTGAGAAAGAGAATAAAAACTATTTTTTTCCCTCCATACCCGTTCTAGACTGACAAAGTAGAGTTTGTAGTCTGTGACAGTGAGTGTGCCGGTCACAGCTCCAGTGAAAGGACAGATATACATCACATCTTTAACTGCAGAGACAGAAGATAATAAATGTTAGTTAACTGACACCAAACAAGCAGAAACAGGAAACGGGTCACCACGAATGATCCAACATACCAGTGGTTTTGATTGTCTCTCCAGGGACCAGTGGGACTTCATCCATGTGCACCTGCCTTCGTACATCCTTGAAAACCTGTTACAGGGTAAAAAGACAACATCTCAAAATTCACACAGCAGTTATTTTATTCTGCTAATATCTTGTTCATACACTACCATTCAAAAATTTGAGGTCGGTAAGGTTTTTTTAAATGATTTTGAAATAAGTCTCTTATGCTCTCCAAGGCTTCATTCATCTGATCAAAAATACTGTAAAACAGTAAGATTGTGAAGTAGTACTATTCTTAAAAATGTTTTCTATTTTAATATATTTTAAAATGTAGTTTATTCCTGTGATGGCAAACCTAAATTTTCAGCATCATTACTCCAGTGATCAGTGTCACATGATCCTTCAGAAATCATTCTAACATGCTGATTTGTTGATCAAGAAACATTAATTATCATTATCATAGTTAAAATCGATTATGCTACTTAATACATTTTATGGAACCCATAAAAAAAAAATAAAAAAATAAAAAAGTTCAAATAAACAGTATTTGGATTGCATTGTTACAAAAATTGTCAGCAATTTAACGCATCCTTGCTGAATAAAAGTTTTATCAGTGTCACATGATCCTTCAGAAATCATTCTAACATGCTGATTTGTTGCTCAAGAAACATTAATTATCATTATCATAGTTAAAATCGATTATGCTACTTAAAGTTCAAATAAACAGTATTTGGATTGCATTGTTACAAAAATTGTCAGCAATTTAACGCATCCTTGCTGAATAAAAGTTTTTTGTTTTTCTTTCCCAAAAGAAAACATTTTTATTGACCTCAAACTTTTGAAAAGTAGTGTTTTCTCATAATAATATAGCTGCTATCATAAAGTCTGGGCTGATGTAAGGGCTTGACAAAGACCTTGACAGCAGTAAAATAATTGAGAGAGTTGAAACCGAAGATAGACAGAGGAAGGTTAGAGTAAGCAGGTAGTGTTGAAGCGAGAGAAACTTGCCGTAGTGTGAGATGGCAGTTCATAGTCACTGTCAAACTGACAGTCATCTTCACCAGAGTCCTGAGACAGACAGACAGACAGACAGACAGAAATAATATAGCTGCTATCATAAAGTCTGGGCTGATGTAAGGGCTTGACAAAGACCTTGACAGCAGTAAAATAATTGAGAGTTGAAACAGAAGATAGACAGAGGAAGGTTAGAGTAAGCAGGTAGTGTTGAAGCGAGAGAAACTTGCCGTAGTGTGAGATGGCAGTTCATAGTCACTGTCAAACTGACAGTCATCTTCACCAGAGTCCTGAGACAAGACAGACAGACAGAAAGACAGAAAGGAGTTTATTAAAAAGTTCCTGTGATTTTAGTGTCTGTTTTGGAAAGAGAAAAGAGAGACAATGCAGCAAAGATAACAGTTGCTCTTTAGGGTTGATAGGTCATAGGTCTAATCAAGTGTGATTTAAGGAGGAAGAGAGAAAACACAAAAAACATACAGCTGCTCAGCCATCACTACTTCACTAGAAGATCTGAGCTAATGGCAACTAAATAATTCAAATGTGCGTTTTTGATGCTTCTGGTGTGTTTCAATACAGATCTCAGATTCTGGATCTTCAGCCTTACCCTCAAGTTTGGCCTCCTGGATACCTGGAGAACACACATAGACATCAGACAAAGACAAGGTACAAACACGCACACACCTTCATGAACATGTAGGCACAAAAGCACACAGACTTAACACACATTAGACTGAATATTAGCCAAAATGTCAAGACATTTCCAAGTCATATTTTACCCTATAATCAGAAAGAAAAAAAAAGCAGCCTATTTTTAGGACCATTAATATTTTCTACTACCCACTATAATGTAAAAAATCTAATTCTCATTACTTCATATATATTATACTTTATATTGTATTATTATTATTAATTAAATACCATTTAAATTGTAAAGAACAAAGTTAAGTATACACACACTACCTTTTAAAAATGTTGGCTAAGTTTTTATTTATATATATATATTTTTTACGTGACAGTAAGATGAGACAAGACAGTAAAAAAAAGGTAATTTTACGTCTGTTGAATTTAATTATATAATTTCATTTCAAAAGATTTTTTCTGTCCAGAAAATCAGGATGATTTTCTTTACTGTATTATATGACCCTTCGATAAGCTCCGGCCCCTGGGTTACTGTTACTATCTCAGACAAGCTTTACAGAATATCCCAGACCAACGAACTGGAGATTTCTGTGGGCAGCACAATTTACTAAAATGTGCAAATAATATGGTTAAAAATGTATATTAATCTTACATTTAATTTCTGTACAAACAGATTAAGAACTTGTCTGAAAAAACAGCAGACATCAACAATTGTCTCTTAAAAACAGGCTTCATTTTTATGCAGAATATAGCTTCCCTTTTTTCTGTTTTGAACACGTGATAAAATATGACAATATGACATTTCTTCATGAGATTCATCCTTTAACACCTTGATAAAGCATAAAGAGCTCATAAACAGAAGACAAACACATGACAAAAAGACAGTGTGCAAAATCCCATACTGAACGCACACAAAGGTAAAGCAGACTAACACAAACAGTGGTTATATATTTGTAGCATTATGTTCAATTTCTAATTTACAGTTCAAAGCATTGGCCATTTTAAAGCAAACTGAGGCCATGTATTTTTTCCTCCTTCCGTTTTAACAAAAATCTCGGTCCACATGAACATGCAAACGCATGCTATGAATCACTGTCAAGACGAGCATGCCAAACCAACAGGTGGCGATATAATCTCAACCGTAAAGCCATGTTGGCCAATCAGAAGCCTGAAAAGGTCTCCAGTAGGCGGAGATAACAGCGCAGGCGCCGACGTCACAAGCCAAAAACTCCGGTTTCGCGGTCTATACGATAACACTGCAACCGGAGTGTTTGAAAATCTTCACCCTGGCAGGCGTTTTCAAAAATGTTCAGTTTCAGTGAACTGGTGCTGCGTTTGTGTGTGGACGAACGGCCAAACCGCGTAGAAAAACCTGCGGTTTTAAAAATAATCGCTTTCGTGTGGACAGGACAAACACCCTGCTTCCATCACCCTTACCTTGAAATCTATCTTCTTCCCAGCCTGTTGATTAAAACGCAATATCATAATGGCTCACTCGGAGGCAAAAAAAAAAAGAACACTTGGCCACATTCATTTTGAATGCCATGTTTCTAAGCTTAAAGGCACAGTATGTAATTTTTGCCACTAGAGGGCGCGTATTCAAAATAAACAAAAAATCAAAGTTTGTTTGTAGTTTGATGACGCAGTGACTGAGTGTGGAATCATGGGAGTTGTCATCTTCATCCCCACAGCCGATGCAATCCGACGGGACTCGGGCAGAAATCATGTTCATGGTTGAGCTAATGATTTATTAACGTAGTAGAATGAAGCAGGGTGAGGCTGAAAGCCGTCGAAGCGAAACGAGGCCGCTGAACGAGCGCGACACACGGCTCGAAAGCAGCGGAGCTTTTATTATGCCTCAGTCGACCGCTTCCACTCCTTCCGGAAGTGGGTATGTGTGGGGGGAAAAAGCAGCGCTGTTTTATCATACTAGATACATTTGAAAGTTCTGTTATAATGCTAGTCTGTGCGATCGTCACCAGTCTATTAAAACGCACAACATATTAAAGCGTCTTTGGTGTTTCCATGTTTTCTACAAAACCGGAAATCGAGGGTGTATGACGTCATTGGCAGGCGACACAATGACACTATGGGCACGGTCCGTGTCACTAGTTAAAATTGCTTATTTCTCTGGATTTAAACATTCTTCGAAACATCTGGGATAATGCAAGTACACAAGTCAGCAAAATATTTAACACTGTTCTAGTGGCTTTTGGATATTTTAATAAAAAGTCTGACATATTGTGCCTTTAAATACAACATACAATAATTTATATAAATGTCCTTTCAACTCAAATCAATATTTCACTTCCATGTTTATTTATTTGTAATAGTAATAAGAGTAATAAGTTGGGATCATGTACAGTCAGGAGGGCCCATTCATAGGTCCTTATCACGCCGTGGGTTTATTTTGTGGTAACGACCGACTGGCTGTACTTATTTTATTCAATACAGGTCTGATTAAGAGTGAAAAACATTCTCTAACCTTGCATTCACGAGTAATGGCTTCTGGAGGGACACCACCAGAGATCTGGCTGGAGATGGTGGCCGCTATCAGCTGTTTACACCACTCCACATGAGATCCAGTAGGACTGTGTGAGAAGAAGAAAAAAATAACACACTTAAGCAAGTGCTTCAGTCAATGCATCTGCCAGCAGTGTGTGGACTGAAGATGACAGATGGCAATATGAGGTCAAGAGAAATGTGTCACACAGTCTGATCTTCCATTGGTGAAAAATGCAACAACATTGCAACCTGGCTTTAAAAAATGCTTTCATGTCTCATTGTTTCAGTTAATGCATCACTTCTTGGTAACACACGTTACAGGCTAACGTTACTACCTTAAAATGATGATGGAAGGATGCGTGCTGATAGTTCCTAATGGACAGAAATCATTTAATAAGAAATAGTTCTGATATTAGTGTTATCCGAGCACAAATAAACTATAATATACAGTGTATATCAGGGTAAATATCATAACATTACCCATATATAGGACGCGTCTTATTTCTCCATCCTGTATCGCGTGTTCGCACACCGTAGATCACTTTATTTATGAAAAATACATATGTAATTGTACATGTGAGCATAAACCCACGTCTTGTACCTGTCTAATGAATCCACGCCGTCTTGTCGAGGTGCAGGGATTGCTCCTCCGAGGTTCCTCGGTTTACGCGGGACAGGCGGCAGCACCGGACTCTCTGAACCCGACGAATGCTGCCATTTCTCCATTTCTCACCTTCCCGAGCTCCGTCGTGTAAGATGTGAATGTCTTTTAGCGTCCTCTAGTCTGCTAGCGGAATCTCTGTGTTTAGGAAGTCATCTTTCTTTGGCTGTTCGTGTGCAGCAGTCTGCTCTGCGGTCGCCTCACTGCTTCCTGCTCTTCTGCTGCTGCTGCTGCTGCTGACAAATAGCGTTTCTCTTTATTTATGTCGAGGAGGCAGCCATGACGAAATCTTCCCCCTGCTGTCAAAAGCCATATTTAGATCACTAACATATCGGCAGCCATATACTGTGCGTATGCATATGTATTTTTTCCCCACCAGAAATTACGTCTAAACATAAACATTCGGAAGACTTTATACATTTCAAATAAACGTTGATCTTTTGAAATCTCTATTTAACAAAGAATACTGAAAACAATTGTATCACGGATTCCACAAAAAAAAAAGCAAGCAGCAGAACTGTTTTCAACATTCATACTGATAAAAAAATGTTTTGAGCATGAAATCAGCATAATAGAATGGTTTCTAAAGGATCATGTGACACTGAAGACTGGTGGCTGCTGGAAATTCAGCTTTAAAGGGGTCATACGATGCGATTTAAAAAAAAATTCTCTCTCTTTGAAGTGTTACAAGCAAAGTTGCAAAGACTAAAGTCTCAAATCCAAAGAGATATTCTTTATAAAAGTCAAGTCAACCACTCCTACCTAAAACGGCTCGTTCTAAAACCCCCCCCCCCCCAACACGCAACTCCGTTGGGGAAGATCTGTGCTGGTCGCTGAGGGAATACATCAACTTCGCGCTGTGGATCGCCGGATCGGCTTTCACCGTGGACGAAGCGGAGTCCAGCCCGGGGTCGTCACATGTGGTTGCCGCAAGCCCGCCACCCTCCGCTCAGTACGTTTTTTATATTCAAAGGATTTGCCACTGATGATTCAAACGTGGGTTTTGAGCAGTGTAGAGCAGAGCTTGTTGTTTGTCATTTCTCTGATCACAAATGCAGACATGATTTTATGTTTACGTGGCGCGACGCAACGCGTAAAAAGACAGTACAAGTCATTATAATCCATAATTATGTCCCCACTGGATGCAACAAATGCCTCGTTTATAATGGGTTTTAATGATTTTGTCTCGTCGCGCCGGCCTGACAGAGCATCACATTATGGTAAGGGGCGTAACATTTTCGTCACACACTTGAGGTATTCGGCCAATCATAACGCACTGGATAGCTGGCCAATCAGAGCACACCTCGCTTTTCAGACCGATGAGCTTTGTAAAAATCGACGCGTTTCAGAAAGGCGGGGCATAGAGGAGAAACAATAATGTACAGTATGTGGAAAATAATGTGTTTTTTTAACTTTAAACCGCATAAACACATTTCATTACACCAAATACACAACATAATGTTCTTTTTAGCAATGTCATATGACCCCTTTAACATCAAAAATGTAAAATAGATCTTCATCAAAATAGAAAACGGTTATTTTAAATTGTAACATCTCACTATATCAGTTTTTACTGTATGTTTGACTTATTGTAAATTGTTTGATTTTCAATAAGATGCACCTCATTAATATAACTAAAGAAACTAATGTAACGGTTTGCTTTTAGATTAGGCTTATGCTTATTAAATTGTCTGGAAATCATCTCTATAAGATGAGGGTTTTTTCATACCTCTGTGATAGTATATACATTTTGGTTTTTAGAGTATGCATTTTCATTGCAGTCATGCATGCTTGCAGGTCTTGAAAAACATGTTTTTAAAGGTGATTAGTCGCTCTAGACAAATTGCATTGGGTGGTTTATATGCTATAAGTGCTGCACATAACAAATGTAAGAAACATTTAAACCCCACTGTCATAAAATCAGAATGCCTGGAATAATGAGCACACAGTCTTTTCCATGTGAACTCTTTAAATTAATTTAATCAGCATTATGTACAGAACAATAGCTGGCCAACAAATAAAGGATACATGTGGGAATACAAAACACAAATAGATCCCTCTAACCTATTATGTCTAACTTAAGATAATGTGAGAAAAAAAAAATTCAGAGCGATGGGATTGAGAACAAAATAATTCCCTACAGAATCTCATTTAAACCCCACTGTCATAAAATCAGAATGCCTGGAATAATGAGCACACAGTCTTTTCCATGTGAACTCTTTAAATTAATTTAATCAGCATTATGTACAGAACAATAGCTGGCCAACAAATAAAGGATACATGTGGGAATACAAAACACAAATAGATCCCTCTAACCTATTATGTCTAACTTAAGATAATGTGAGAAAAAAAAATTCAGAGCGATGGGATTGAGAACAAAATAATTCCCTACAGAATCTGATCGTTTTCAGATCTTTAAAATGTTACAAAGCAAAACCTAAATGCCCATTAAAAAAAAGAAAGAAATTATACATACAAGAGGATGTCCAACAAATTACCTACAATTTCCAAAACCAACCAAAAACATTTTTCTAATTACTTTCCTTTTTATAAAACTGTCAAATTGTACACTGAATAAAATAATTATATTTTACAACAATAGAACTTTCAACAGTAAAATATGTTTTTGTTTGAGGTAATTACATAGTTCTGGTACTTGTACAAAATAAAAAATAGATTTCGGTCTTTTTTCCCCCCTAAAAACAACCAACCGCAAATGGTTTGTTTGTTTATTGAACTTGTTTGTCTTCTTCACACACTATGGTTTAAACGTCATATCCTCATTGAGGTCAAAGTCTTTAGAAGTTCAGTTTTCCAAGGCAGCATGAGCCATGACTCAATGAAGCCCTCCTCTATAACCCTGTGTCAGTCACCGCTCTCTTCCTCAGGAAAAGGCTGAATTTGGGACAGCTCAAACACACCGCTTCATATCCCAGCCGCTAAGTCCTACCCAAAAGACTTTGCAGACTATGCTACGTCTCATTGGGAGCAATACTGTCAGCTCCATTAGAAACAAAATATTTGCTTTCCGTGGCAACTGCACGTCGTTTTATGGGGTAAAGCCACAAGCATGTAGGGCTTCAAACTGTTCAACTCCAGAACTCAGCAGGAGAAGAAACAACCTGTTGCTCAAACGCACAGTGAATGGAAATGAATATTCTACCACTGATGCTGCCATAAAGAAAAAAAAAAAACATCTCGCAATAAAATATATACCCGAAAACCTCAGATATGAGTAAAGGCACCAAAAAGGTATCCACGTCGCTCACTTAAAAAAAAAAAAACCCTGGTTCTGTTCAACAAGCTAATATTAATCGCTTCAGAACATTTTCCTACCATATCATACACTCACCTGAGCAGCGAATGACATTTACGGAGGAAAAAGTAAGACATTTAGACAACATATCTGCTTCATTTACCTTTTGAGGTCAGCCATTTGAGTTTGTCAAGCAGTTAAACCAAGTATACTAATGAAACGATTGCTCTACCAAAGTTTGAGGACCCTGCTTGATACTGGATTGACTGGACACCACAGCGACTACAAGACCAGCACTCTGAACACCATTTAGATGCCATCTTACTAGTGCTCAACATTCAAAAATGTTCTTCACGCAGATCTAGACACTTTAGAACTCTTAATAACACATGTAACGCAACACATAATCCACATACGTCCATCCGATTCCATTGCTTTCAATCGTCACATGACTGCTCCAAACAGTATCCAAGTGGCGTCTGAGACAGCCACACATAATCTGACTCACTTTCATCCATGATTTGCGGCGTGCAAAAAAAACAGCGCTGTCACTTTAAGGCTTCTCTTTTCGTTTAACGTTTTTTGCGTGATGAAGGCCGTACTGTGGTTTATTGCATAATTGTTTTGTTACTCGTTATCGTTGACATCACTACTAATTGTGTTACCATAATTATCACTATTGCTATGTACAAATGTCCAACGTCTGTAACAGTTTGTGAGTAGGATCAAAATGGTGTCTGTAAGTGTGTGATGTGCTGATTGGGCGTGGCAACATTGGGGGTGGAGCTGTTTGTCAAGTGGGTGGAGGAGGGGGCGGAGTCTGAGAGCTGCAGTTCCTCCAGTTTCTTCAGGTACTGATCCCTCAACGCCAGTAGCTCCTTATAGCGCTGCTCCACTGGACTCTGTTGCTGATATGCACAAATATACACAAACATGCATACATGTGAAGTGACAAATGCGTCAAATAGCCACCAGAGGGCAGCAAACACAGTCTTTGACTTCAAATAAAGGAAACTGATCACATCTGCATTTTTATGATACAAATATTTTTTGATGCACATAAGATGCTGGAATACTAGTTCTTGGACAAGCATTTTGTATTAATCTATGATTAGCTGGATAACTATAATAAGAATGTGCAGTTTAATACTCAAACATGGCACTATGGCCTGTACACATTACATTTGAAAGTTTTTTTTTCTGGTTTATTGTTTTGGTGGCATTTAATATGTAAATGGTAAACAGCATTAATCTTTGTTATGACTAATGTGGTAAAATGCTTATTTATGCCAATGCTGGAGCAGCTCCTGCAAAACCTCTGTAACAGAATACATGTGTGTGTGTGTGTGTGTGTGTGTGTGTGTGGTGATAAGGACGTTCTGAGTGACAGTTCACTGCAGTGCCAGTCAGGACGTAATTAAACTGGAGAGAGAGGATTTTCTGCACCGCTGAATCGGGTGTGCAGACACACACACACACACATACTCAATCCCACCCAGAGGCAAAAACACCCACTGTAAAAAAAGATGCACATGCTTTTTCCCCCTTCAAAGACCCATTTGTACATACCCTAAAAAGTCAGCTTAAATAATTCTTATCACCATACAAAATGCTATAGAAACTACAACCTGATTGTGAATGTATGTTGATACCTGGTGTTGTATGCGAGGGTTCCACCTGATGTAATAAGTCACCCAAAGGTCTAGGTGGCGCATGCTGGCTACAGGGTAAAGCACGCGACTGGACTCTGGTGTGTAGAAGGGGTTTATATACAAGGATGTGTCACGATTGACAAAAGACCACAGAGACACCGTCTTCACCCGAACGTTCTAGTGAATGAAACAACATGGAAAGAATAGAAGAATCAGAAAGTTAGCATTTTGAATGAACATTACTCCATTATTTAAAGTGATTCTTAAGTATTATTCTATGTTAAAGAAAATGAAAGCTGTTTACACTACCAGTCAAAAGTTTGGAATAACTAAGATTTGTCTCTTTTGCTCACCAAGGCTGCATTCATTTGACCATAAGTACAGTAAAGACAGTCACGTTGTGAAATATTATTACAATTTAAAAATAACTGTTTCTATGATTATATATTTTAAAATGCAATTAATTCCTGTGATGGGAAAGCTGAATTTTCAGCAGCCATTACGTCAGTCTTCAGTGTCACATGATCCTTCAGAAATCATTCTAATATGTCTTTTGAACTAAAGTACAGGTGATTTAATTGGTAATACAGAATCAGCTGTTAAACTGTTGAATATATTGGTAATACAGCAGCTAAGGTGTTGAATCCTTTGGTTAGCAATAGATGTAAAGTGGGACTGTGTTCCCTAACATTGTTGTTGCGGTGGACGGCTCTAGAGGGCTACCAGAATGAATGTTTCATCTCCCCAAAGTGCATTCTACTCTGACTGAGAGTCACTGAAGCATCCCTTTTACTCATGCTCTACTTCACAAAATGAGCGCAGAGAGAAATAAAAAGCAATGTGTGCATGTGAGAGAAAGCAAGCAAAGGCCAATATATCTCACTGATGACAAGTGGCCTCCAATAAGCAGTGAAGAAGATTGGATTTCAGAGATTCAGAGACAAAGGTGTGATAAAGTTAAAGAAACGTAGAGTGGAGAACATTTTAATAGATCCAGCCTGTTTCCACAATGCATGTAATAATTATAAATGAATATACAGTGAGGTCCAAAAGTAAGAGCACATTTATAATCTGAGATCCAAAATCTAGTTAAACCAGGAAATAAACAAAGGATTTTTAAAAATCATGACAAAGTGAAAAAATATTAAGACATTCTGAATTCATATTCATTTCTAAATTCAACTTCTAAACTCAAAATCTATTAATCTGGAAGTATCTGGAAAACCACCATTTAGCAGCTCTATGCAAAATCTGTTACAAATATTATTATGGATTGCATTATTAAATATAACACTTTATAGATATTCAGGGTAGGAAGGACATTCAAGGTTTGCATATTAATGTGGTTTAATATCACTGACACACCAATTGTTTGTGATGTGTGTGTTTGTTATTTCTTACATTGCTTTCACGGGCACTCTCGCAGTTGTAGAGGAAAGAGCCAAAGCGGCAGCTGTACAGGTGATCCAAGATTACCACTAGGAGACGTTCATTAAACTCAAATGCTGTTGGGAACTGCAGAGGTGGGAGAGAGATAAAAGTTAAAGAGATGTACTTGCATTAACGCATTAAACTCTAATTAGCTGGATAAAATCATTCTACAAAACACATTAAGAAAATGTATTCCAAAGCTGTATGATCTGGTTTATTTTGCTGTACTCAAAAGACATCTGAGATGCTATTTTCTGTGTTATAAAAGTAGACAATGATTTTCAAGTTCCAATGAATTAATACTACTGCATACTCTTAAAAATAAAGGTGCTTAAAAGGTTCTTCACAGCGATGCCATAGAAGAACCATTTTTGGCTCAACAAAGAACCATTCAGTCAAAGGTTCTTTAAAGAACCTTCTTTTGCCACTTCAGATGTTGAAGGTTCTTTATGGAACCATTTAGACAAAAAAGGTTCTTCTATGGCATCGTGAAGTTCCTTTATTTTTAAGAGTGCAGACAACACGCAAAGCTTGCTTTGTTTAGTTGTTTCTCACTCAAATCTCTCTCAATGTTACATATATTTAAATATGCCACGTATCAGCATCCACAATGACTGAACAGCAGCAAAACCAAGAAAGCCATGCAGGTTTGGAGCAGCATGATAGTTCACATGCTAAGACAATTAGATCCATACCTGTTTAGTCATTTGCCACACGCAGTCAATAAACTGCACAAAGATAGGTGACCTGTCCTGATCTGCATGGTTTTTGTCTCCATGGCCGATTCTCTACACACACACACATACAGAGTATAATGTTAATACCAAGAGATGATGATTCATTTTTTTTGTTTACACAAAAGCTAATACACTCAGATGTAGTTTATACTTATTTATTCACTATTAACTCTATAATCGCCTAATAACACGGCTGACAGAACTCAAAGTCCATCACTACACGTGTGGTTTTCCAGATGCAAGACTTTGTAAACTAAGTTGGAACTCACTGAAGCGAACTTGTGTCCAAAGCTGATCCATTCCTTCTCCAGCAGCACCTGGAAGCCCCTGAAAGTCCTGTAGTATGAATCCAGCATCAGCATGGCCAGAGAGGTGAGCTGAGCTGTGCGGTCCCAGCCGTCACTGCAGTGCACCATCACAGAGCTCCCAGAAGACACCTTATCAGCCACCTGAATGGCCCCTGATAGCACCAGCTAGAGCAAGAAGGAAGGTAGTTACATTAGAGCATGTTGAATTTTATAATGTATATTGGTATGCATTAAAAAAAAAAAAACCTTAATATGCTCTAGCCAGTGGGTGGACTCCAGGCTGGAGAGCCAATGAGACTCCTCCACGCTGGGGTAGACAATGTCCTTTAACTTCTTCAGTGACTCCCTCATAACATGGATATTATGGATGTCCAGAAAGACCAGCTCAGCGTTCTGATATGCATCGTCGCCCTCATAACCCCCTCCTGTGGCCTGGAGGGTAAGAGGTGAGAAGTGTACAGGTTAAGATATGTGAACATGCAGAGAAATTCTGCATCTGCACACTTGCTTTCACACTTCATGTACCTAAAAAAAATATTGCATCAATAATGCCATTTCAAAATGCTCTGTCAGCAGTGTTCAGTGTGGCGTAGCTTTCAAGCACCACTGCATTCCACTTCTGGGTCCACATTGTGGTTGGTTTTGCTTTTAATTAGTTTTGCAACACACGAAAACTGAAAACATACTCGTGCAAAAGCAAAGTTTTGTTTGTCTAATACAAACCAAGAGTCCCAGACTGACTGGAAAACAGAAAGCAGCCGATACCTTCAGTGGATAAAGCCATAAGTTAGATATGAGGTAAACAAAGAGGGTTTTCATATTCAAGAACTTCTTGGAAATTAATTTGAATCTCTCAAACCTGCCACTTATTAGTAACCCTCTAGAATCTTACCTTGTTTGCCACAGCATTGACATTAGGCCTGGCGTCATAGATGGTGAGTTTGGTGGTACCATTGGCCTCACGGATTAGGTCCAAATAACGTTCATCATCTTTGTTGCGCTTGCCGCTCATTCCCACCAAAGGCTGGCTACACCGCGTGATCACAGCATGGTTCTCTTTATGGAACCACGACAACACCTGAGAGGGGAAGGAAACACATCATCATTACAGAAGGTAAAGTCATCAAAAAACATAAAAAAAACAACACATTGTTGAATCGAAGATGAGGAAAACAAAAGAAAGCTTTATCATCATCTAGGGACATTTGTTTCAATATCATATGTGACCCTGGACCACAAAACCAGTCTTAAATTAAACACACACACAACAGGATTTGAGAATGTCAGACTTTCAAAAAGAGGATGCTAGTTCTGCTCTAACCTAACCTATCACATTTTCATTCTATAGCGGTTTCCATTCAAAGCAGAAGCTGTAAAGAAGTGCTCTTAAAAACACATGAAGGTACTAACATTTATAGAAAGTATTCAAAAACGTTTTTGGAGCTGTGCGATACTACACATGCAGTATGTCGAGTTCAAATCTGGCTTGCGATACTCCAGGATCTTACTACCACTTTTCCCCTCATTTGTGAGAGTAAGTTAAACCAGTATTTCATGCATTCTGCTACTGATGAAAGTCAGTTGTGAAATGCTGAATTGTTGAAACAACACTTAATCGCACTGCATAAAATTCACAGAAGTGATTAATTTAGTTTTAAATCATTTCTGAGTGAGTCTAAAAATTAGCATTTAAGAATAACATTAAACACCAAACACTGACCATTCCATGAGACAGTGGGAAAGCATATTTGAAAATAATCTCGAAGATGTCTCTTCGACTGTGGCCTTCTTGCTTCAGAGCAAATCGCAGGTTCCTCATGTCCTGACACACACACACACACACACACACACACACACACAACAGGATTTGAGAATGTCAGACTTTCAAAAAGAGGATGATAGTTCTGCTCTAACCTAACCTATCACATTTTCATTCTATAGCGGTTTCCATTCAAAGCAGAAGCTGTAAAGAAGTGCTCTTAAAAACACATGAAGGTACTAACATTTATAGAAAGTATTCAAAAACTGAATACTTTTTTGGAGCTGTGCGATACTACACATGCAGTATGTCGAGTTCAAATCTGGCTTGCGATACTCCAGGATCTTACTACCACTTTTCCCCTCATTTGTTTTCCCCAACATTAGCAGTTATGGAATGTGAATTTCTAGGGCTTTGTGTGAGCGATACCTTGCAGGTGATTTCAAGCCCATAGGAGTTCTCTCCTCGACTGGAGGCTCCGCCCATCTTCTCTACACGGCTTATAACACCTAATGGCACATCCAGGATAACTGGCGTCTCCTTTAGACAGGAAGTGACAACAATCTTACACATATATATGTACTATCAACACCTCAGAAGTGACACTTTCAGTTCCTTGCAATTATAGTAAATATGTGCTAAAGCATGTCACAAACTTTGTTTAATAGGTCTTTGGTTCCATCTAACCAGTCCACTAACATATTTGTGTGACAACTAGATCTTCCATACAAAACATAAGATTTCAAAACAGTTTGCATTACTGTATCGATAAATTTTTTTATTTCTGCCACTTTGCCAGGTTGACGGATCATGGCAACGGACCCCAGCAACGGTCAAAACATCCACATAACAGGTGTCCGCTACCATGTGCCAACCAAGGACAGAGCCAGAACCGAGATGAAAGCCTTTCTCTGATATGATGTGATACGAAATCCCTCCTTCTTCCTGTCCTCTCATATCCTTCTCTTTTCTCTTTTAATACAGCCGAACAGATGTGTGCTATAACCAAAGGTAGCCACTAAAATTTGATCCAAAATAAAAAATGTGGAAACAAGCCTTCAAAGGAGAAATTGAGAAGGAAAGACTGAAAGACTCTGAAATGGTTTTAAATGAGCACCTGACATGGCCTCAGAATGACTGTGCCTGAACACGTAGAGAACTAATGCGTTGCAATATTGGGAAATGAAAATGAACGTTTCTCTTACTGAGTCAGTGTTCTTGAAGTAGAGTCTGTAGTTGGTGATGAACACCTTTCCTTTGACTGCAGCATTAAAAGGGCAGATGTAGATGATGTCTTTATCTGAGGAGTAAAAGAGAGTAGGAAATACAAATAAAGCTCAACATTTATTTAATCCCATAAAGTCTGACTTAAAATGTCTGTGTGAAACAATTAAAGGTGCATTAAAGTTACTTTTGTCAAAACATTGAACACTCACATTACATGAAGACTCCAGTCAGTGTTCAAGACACAACTATTGTTTATAACAAAAGAGCGGTCCCCCCTCATAGGGGCTGCCATTTTGAGATCACATGACCTGCCAGGTACTTTATTTTGATTGCCCTCTATTATTATTAAATACAACTGTGTAATGCTGCATCCTTGCCAATATGTTGGTTTGCCAGCCACCGTAAAAAAAAAAGAGCCTAAAGCAGCAGGTGAACATTTCTGCCACCTAGTGGACTGGAGTGTGAAACACTGGATGGCGCATAAATGAACAATGGCGCCCCCCATGATTTTAAGGTTAAAACTGTTTAAATAATGGGTTCGTTTTCATGAGTCAGAGCACTTAGGCAATGATTAGCCTGCAACACTGACTTGACTCACTTTAGTATTTTAGGTGCTATGCTAAGGTAATGTGTACAGTGAACATGACAAATTTCATAGTATTCTCATGCACAGTAAGCATGTACTGTATGCATGCAGTCTGATTTTTCTAAATGCACACAATCTGTATGCTCAACTAGCATATGCGTCTTGAATTATTTCGCATCAATAACTTTAGGAGAGAAAATAGCGCAGACACTGGACAAGGATGAAACTTTCTAGTTTTCATGTGTCATGCACACTATCAAATGGAGCATACTTTGAAAGGCAATGTGTTTGGCTATACAAAAACTGACGTATTCCATTCTACTTGTTATTTTTGAATACATTTGTTAAATTGTATAGGTTTCGTGATTTAATTAATTAGACATACTAATCTAGTATATCCAGAAAAATTCAAAGTGAAAAATCTGAATCCAGAAAAAAAAAAAATCTGGGAAAAAATGTTATGCATTTCATTTCAAGTCCCTAATAGCCAAAAAGTTTGAGATCTTGAATCAACAGTTTTACGACTAGCACGTTATTTGAACATTACAAATTGTCAATATTAAAATGCATTTTATATATACAAGTATGACCAAAATGCTTATGGAGATAATAATTCTTATTCATTTAGGAGCATAGAAGCACACACATGCTCTCACTCACCGATCACTCTCTCTTCTCCCGGCAGCATGGCAACATCTGCCAGTGGCTCCATCTTCAGGCTCTCTCTCGACGCCTGTCAAAACATGCAGGAACATTGAGTTGACATGGGCGCATCCCTCACACGCACACAAACGCTCTCAAATAAGGATGATCACAACCATTTCTACACTACTCACAACATTAATACACTACAGTTCTAGACCAGACATGATTGTACTCAGTGGCATCTGATCAGAGGAAAAGAAAAACGCTGGGAAAAAACCTGAGAGTGACAGGAATGGAAGAGGAAGTAGTGAAGAGAGGAAAATAAAGAGTAAGAGGAGACTGTCCTCTTTCACCCTCTGTCTGTGAGCACCAGTCTGATGCTCTATGTGTGTGTATGTGTGTGTGTGAGTGAGATCAGGGATCCAGATTGTCTTTCCCTGGGCTATATTCCTGCTGCCAGTTGAAGGTTAGTGAACTGGAATAATAGCTAAGAGTGCTATTCGCTGCGTGTAGTCGTTTATTCTGTCGGCCTTTTGCTGCTGTTCAGTGTTTTGCAAGTCGCAACCCTGTTGGCAGAGAGAAGCAAGGGCTTCTGGGTAATGGTCTAGCCCGTGTTCTCGAGATGACAAATGGAGCAGCCAAACACACACACACACACACAGTGTTCCTAGCAGGGAAACTAACCTGGTTCACACAAATAAGAGGTAGTTGGGTAAACAGAAGAGGACAGATGAGGAAGGGGGAGAATAAAAAACAGCCAACTAGTAAGAAGATTAAAAGAGACAACGTTAAAGACATCTTAAAGGTACAGTGTGCATTTTCTGCAACATTCGTCTGCAATTGTTCACAGCCATCTGGGAAATCAAGCCCAAATGGCTTAGTTATAGTCGTTTCTGCATATTAAGCTGCGATTGGAAAAAGAAAGAACGAAACAAAGAAAGAAAGGAGACTGACTGAGATAAAAGAGACAAACAGAGGCAATCACAGAGACAGATGGACGGCTCTCTGTACAAAATCTCTCTAGCTGTCCTCAGGGACCCTGGAAAAACGGAGACTCGGGTTCTGCTGCCTATCACCTGCCAGGTGTTACAGCTCCACTAACATATGTATGGAACAGCAGTCTCCTGGCTCAAGCGCTAGCGATGTGCCAACTCCCTGTCTGCCTGGAATCCCCTCTGCCCAGAGAGGTTACATGTTCCAAGCCAGACACTGCATATGCATGTGCTTATATAGGGAGGGGCACTCTGCTTTTAAAGGAAACAATCTTTTTCGCTTTAACCACTAAGACAAGTTCCTATTTGAATTACTCAATTTTCACGCATTTAGCAACATGCAATATGCAAGCGTATTATTAATCACTCTATAAATGTACTGAATAGCTAAGCTGGACTGAGTGCACATTTTGGTCTTAAAATAGGTCAGCTAGATAGATGATAAATAACAAGGACATCAACTTTCTTTTTTAACATCATGAAGAAATATTACATTATAATGTGTTATATTTTATTATACTGCATATATAATTAATCCTATTGCTATTCTAAATTAAATGAAATCATATATATTTTCACCATTTGCTTTTGCGAGAACTGGCTTATAGTCTTGGAGTGTGACAAGACAAATTATTTTTAAAAGCGCTAATACTACACGTGGTCTTGAAAAAGCTGTTTAAAATAACTCAAATGTAAAAGAAGTGACATCAATAAAAGAAGTACAAGCAGCATATGCCTCTTCTATAGCATCTATATGGCTGCTTAATACAATAGGAAAGCAGAGCAAAGGGCAGCTCTATTGATACCAGTGAAGTGCATTATTAATTCATGCAGAAAAGGAAAGTCTAACCCTCCTACAACAGCATTGCACACTTACAGGATAACGTAGTTTGTAAAGCAAAGGGGGGGAAATGAGAAACAATCTGTTACAGTCAAAGGACAGGAGGACAGCACAATTACAGCATGTCTGCACGCAGGCTTCACTCACATTTGGGCTGGAGCTGTTCTCCAGAGGACTGGAGTTGTAAGGTGCTATAGGAGCCGAGGCCATCACTGGGTTTGCTTCTTCCACCTCCACAAGAGACATGTCATTTTTCTTTCAGCTCAACAATAAAGCTTTTTTTTCCTGCTGGTTAGTAGGTCAGATTTGTAGCCTGTCCTGTCAACATTTTCAGTTGACTCACCATAAAAATATATTTATTTCTGACATCTACATTTTTTAAATGGGTAACTCTATGACAGCAACAAATTTATAAACATGCTTTTGCTGGACAAAAATGGTACAAAGTGATTTTTCACGCATTCAAACAGATTATTACAAATCATCTACACGATCATCAAAAGTTTGGGGTCGGTAAGATTTTTTGAAAGAAGTCTCTTATATTCCATTACCATGGTACGATATGTAATTCGGCAGATTTCACAAGACCAATGTGCAATACAATCAGACAAATATTTAAAATCTGCAAGGCAAAAAACAAGTTTATAACCAAACAATGTCAGACAGAAGTGTCAGTTTGATCTAGGCCAGGGGTGCCCAAACTCGGTCCCGGAGGGCCGGGGTCCGGCAGAGTTTAGCTCCAACTTGCCTTGACACACCTGCCTTCAAGTTTCTAGTATGCCTAGTAAGAGCTTGATTAGCTGGTTCAAGTGTGTTTGATTAGGGTTGGAGCTAAACTCTTCAGGACACCGGGCCTCCAGGACCGAGTTTGGGCACCCCTGATCTAGGCCATCTGTAATGTTGAACTCTTTGTATAGAGTTTTCATCTTGAAATTACAGAACAGTACGACAGCTACGAAAACAGAGAGGGGGAGAATATGGTTGGAAAATGATGCTGGTCACATGCAAACCTGGGCCAGCTTCGACTGATACGTCATTCAAATTATGTATTTTCTACGATCCCTAATGTTCTCAAAAAGCACAGTTGCCGTTTTTACAGTCATGTTCATCTTTTTTTTTTTTTTCCAGAAACTACCACAGATGTGCCACAGTGGAAGTGAAAGGAAAATATGAAACACTGTGAATAAACAGCAACACCACAGCTGCGAAAATTTATAAACATCCCGCCAAGTGATGCATTGTGGGATAGATATGCTGTCAAAATCTTTACTTGATTAAAATGATTTTGATTATACCATGGCAATGCCATAATAATTTGGACATGAATTGTTTCAATTAGCCATTTTTATCTGAACTGTATTACATTAACAAATTAAATAATAATAATTATTATTTGTTTTTGTTTAATAAACTTTATTTAATAAAAATATAAAAGATGTTTGTATAAAAGCCACCCAATAACCCAAACATGCCACAAGCTTTTTCATGTTGGCACCAAACACCTCAGCAATATGTCTGCATACAGACCACATCAGCATCGCAATCACTATTTGGGCAAAAAATTTTACACTTTTGTCATAAACTATAATGTTGAAAACACAAGTTCCGATCTCGGAGTCATTGTGGGGCAAATATGAAGCTCTGAGGTTGAAATGGACACCTGAGGGAATGACACGTGAGGTTAGTGGTCAGCGACAGGCATGTAAATGATAACAGCACCAGCCTGTGTCTGTGTGTGTGTGTGTGTGTGTGAGTGAGTGAGTGAGTGAGTGAGAGAGTGAGAGAGTGAGAGAGTGAGTGAGAGAGTGTGTTATTTAAAATGATGATAGGACTGCTGTGGCTCTTACATGACGATGCACATTTACAGCCTTACTCCTCTGCTGCCTATAAACAAAATGACTTTTAACTTAGAGATAAGAGAGAGGAATGAAATCAATCTGTCACAGACAGTTTTACTTCAAAACTCATACTCCAAAAACTCTCACCCCAGGGCTTTAAATGCCCGGATCAATCACGGTAAAGTAACGTTAGCTACACACTTTCACTTCAACTTATGTGATGGACAATTATGAGCAGTATTTATCTGGCCCATATGTGCACATATCCACTTCCATTCATACACGATGACAGATAACGACATATACATCAAAACAAGCTTCTCAAGTGTCTGAAAAGACCACTTTTATAACTTCTCGCGATTTCGTGGGAGTTCTTAGGCTACACTGTGAGTGTATTCCAGCACAGGACTGTGACCAGGAAATAGCTCGGGCCTATCTCTACGACAGCTCTCAAGTGCTACATTTACCCCCGAGTCCGCTCCAAGCAGCCCTAAATACAGACCAGACCCTCGCCGAAAAGTCATAACGTGCGACCCGAGCAAACTAGGGTTTGCAAATGTCTTTACTTACCCAGAAACTGCAATTCTCCGTTCCTCAGATCGCCAGTCTGTTTTGCACCGCCGCAGGAAGCGCTCAGCCCGAGTCACGTGACAGCGGTCTCGGCGCCCATTGGCTACTTGTCAAATCGTGTACTGCAAGGAATTTAGGGAGTTGTATTTTTGATAAGTACGGTGAACTAGAAGCTCGTTCTGAAAACATGCTGTCAACCCTTAACGTTTCTTTCGTGAAAAAGATTTCAAATATTGAAGATCCTCAACTTAAAAGCATCCTACCATAACTTATTATTTCATCACACAAAATTAATACATTTTTAAAACAGGATAATGTGTAAAAAAAAAAAAAAAAAAAGAGTAATTAACAAAATAAATAATTAAAAAGTATATTTGTCCCTATATTTCATGGCATAGTGTTACTGGTGGCAAAAAAACAGCTTTTGGAATAATCAATTTGTGAAAATAAAAAAAAAGACAAAAATCAGGGCAAGATCACAACTATAATCATATATAGCCTATATGTGTAAATGTTTGACAACTAGCATTACTCTCCTTCTCTATGTTGACAGTCAACATTGCTTGGAACTGTAGGGGCAGAAATAGATTAGCTAATTTGTACAAACGGTAGGCCTACATCTGTTTCCATTGTTGCCTGATAACAAACAACGTCTAGTGTGTTCAAACTATTGCCCATTTCTGTCAAAGCTGATGACACCATTACCTCAGCTTTTCATTTAGAGAAACACAAAAAAGTGCAAGGCTAGAGATTTTATTGTCCCATATAATTACAGATGACCAATAATTGTTTCACTCCTCTCACATCTTTTCTTTACTTTTACCAGTCATTAATATTTGACACATCATGCATGCATTAGTTTTCTTGCATATTAAGCTGTCTGTATTTTGCATTTATGCCTGGTAGCATCTTTCATAAAAGTGCAAACTAAAGAGTCTTGCTCAGTAAAGTCTAGCTGATGGCTGTGCAATCTGATCCCTGCAGTGTCATAGTCATACCAATCATTCCATTCACTTCCTACAGACGGCAGTTAACTGTCCACACAGCATCTTGTGCAAATTATGGCTCTGGAAAGCAAGAAAGAGTTACACAAACGGTTTTTGTATTTGAATTACTTGTGGCTTTCAAAGTGTGGATTATCAAGTTTGATTTGACCCAGACTTCTGTTGTGTGGCAATAGCTCTGATCTGTAACTGTGAAACATGAAGATATTAGTTTCTAAAACTAAAACAAAGGCAGGTTTTTATGTGGAAGCAAAACTGCTGATCTAAAAATGAAACAGGCAAAACCATAAAACAGCATTAAGAGGAAATATACCAAAAATGGCTATTTATATTTATTTATTTATAAGGAAACGATATGAGAAATGTTATTTCATGATATCTAAATTAATATATATATAGCCTACACACGTACATAGTTATTTTGATATAAAAATAAAGCAAATTACAAGCCATAAGATGTAATTGTAAAAATACAATAGATACACATTAAATAAACTTGTTTTTCTAATACAGTAGGTTTAACATGTATACTTTATTTAACATCTTTTGTTGTTTGACTAACATTAATGAGACAGACAGGTATTTAATTAGGCTGCTGTCCCTTTAAGACCGAATTAATAGAATATACTGACACACCTATCCGGTTTTCACCCACCTGTTTACGTTCATTTAAGCCATAACCGACTGTATTTACGTGAGATACTCCACAAAACTGCTGATCTAAAAATGAAACAGGCAAAACCATAAAACAGCATTAAGAGGAAATATACCAAAAATGTCTATTTATATTTATTTATTTATAAGGAAACGATATGAGAAATGTTATTTCATGATATCTAAATTAATATATATATAGCCTACACACGTACATAGTTATTTTGATATAAAAATAAAGCAAATTACAAGCCATAAGATGTAATTGTAAAAATACAATAGATACACATTAAATAAACTTGTTTTTCTAATACAGTAGGTTTAACATGTATACTTTATTTAACATCTTTTGTTGTTTGACTAACATTAATGAGACAGACAGGTATTTAATTAGGCTGCTGTCCCTTTAAGACCGAATTAATAGAATATACTGACACACCTATCCGGTTTTCACCCACCTGTTTACGTTCATTTAAGCCATAACCGACTGTATTTACGTGAGATACTCCACACGATTGACATTTTGACAGCTGTGTGTGTATTTAACAATTAAGGCGTAGGCAGCACTGATCGCAGAACTGGGCTTTCGATAAGACAGCGCCTCTGTGTGTCTGTCATTGCAGCGTGATTCCGCCTATCTACCCCGCCTTCACTTACTCCAAGTTAATCGATAACGAATTGTGATTGGATGGTAATTTGGTTCTACTACAAGCGTACTTACCTTTGATTAGGCTGTTCGCGTCGCGTGACAGAACACTTCTACTACTCGCTCTGATCACCCAGTCCTAAAGAAAGTTTGAAATACGGGACAAAACATGATTTCCCCCCAAAATAAATCGGGACACTAAAAAAAGAGCTGAAATACGGCGTCTGGTCACCCTACCCACTAAAGCCATTTTTACTGTGTAAAAAATTAAGGATTGTTCAAAACAGACTAGAACAGAAATTGTAGTGAAAGAAGGTATAAATCAATGTCACAAATTTGTTTACTTTGTGCCCACCTCGTCCTGATAAGCAGTCACAAAGAGACTCTTGTGTCCTTATAAGATCATTTTAGCACAGTATTTATCAGGCATCTTCTCAACACTAAATGATCAGGTGTGGTGCTAATATTGATCTTCTCTCATACCACCAATAGAAACGGAAGTATTATATACTGAAGAAGAACAGGTAAAAAAAAAAAAAAAAAAAAAGGACAGAAGGAGACATTTTTGTTTTTATGAGGTTTATTTTCCAATCTAAAAATATGAAGACAAAATATAATAAATCACAATGAATCACAAATCAGAATGTTTTCAAGTTCATGGCATCAACTACATGGTCATGAACTACTGGAAACCCAAGACTCTGGCACAAAGGACTGTGGGTTTTATGCACTTACTGTGACGGGTGTTGCTCTTGTATTACATAATAGGTGGTGTGGTCATATATTTTGTCCCTCTGCTACATTGAGGCTGCCGTTTCAGTGTAGCTGGTGCGTAATTAGAAAAGACATTCCTAGAATTGCTGAAAAGTGTCCTTGGTCCAAAAACCATCATGATCCTTAAGATCCTCATTTCGTTAGATGGAACAGATTATTACAAAGACACTGGTGTCTAGTGTAAAATGTATTATGCTATGGCAATATGACACAAGTTAGAGAACCTTTAGACTGTGCAATTACATCAGAATGAAATGCTGTAACAAGGCTAAGAAACATTGTACTCCAAACCTCCCAATTCAAAAACACAAACCATAAAACCTTCTTAAACCAGACTGGAGTACCAGAAGTCCAGTTATGTCAAAAACATAACAAATTTTTCACCTTTGTAATACATAGTATTACTCCAAAACTAACCATACTGTCTTGCATAATACAAATTACAATAGAGTTTCCTAGTGTAAAATATTTCATTTGCAATTTCAATGTGACACTCATTTCTTTACATCATTACATTTGAGTTTTATTTATTCTTTTGATAATTATTTACAAAGAAATTCTGAAGAATTCATCAGCAGAAAAGAAGCATAAATATGTGTACTTCTCTTTTGTATGTTACAGTTATGAAACCATATTTTACAAAATACTTTATGTACAGGACAAGCCCCTTTTGAAATACCCTCAAATAGTTCATCACAAAAAAAGATTTCATATGCTTTTCAAATAGCAAGAATGAAAAGCTGCAGATATGAGCCTGGTCTGGCATGAGACTGCCAACAATACTGTTACCACATTGCATTAAAGTGACAGTTCCCCCAAAAAGGACAATTCTGTCATCATCTACTCACCCCATGTAAATAAGTAAATAAAAAGTGTTTTGCCCATACAATGAAAGTTAGGGTTGTTTTAAACCCCATTAACTTCCACTGAACAGACAAAAAAATTGATCTTCAAAATGTATTCTGTCATAGAGATTTGGAAAGACATAAGGGCAAGTAAATGATGACAGAATTGTTATTTTTCGGTGAACTATCCCTTTAACTGAATGAGAACTTTCTTTACACTGCTGGGGAAAGCCCATGTTTTCATAAAACAGTGTTTCACTCCATAATAAATTTGATGATAATTACAATATTATTAAAATCATTGACAAAATGAAAGGGCATCTTATAATATAAGTCAGTTTAATGACGGCCAAAGCCAGGCTTAGCAGCGCCTAAGCAGTGCCTCCTTTCCATCGATACATTCTCACTAATGCTTACCATGAGAAAAAAAATGCTTTAGGACTTTAAGGTTCATTCACACCAAAGATGATAATTATAGCAATGAACTAAAAGGTTTTTAAGCCAATCAGATGCCACCCAAGCTTGCATGTATATAGGACCCAATATACTTCATGATTTAGAACAAAATCAGCCCAAAACAAAGTTAGTTTCTGGAGCTCGAAACAGCTTGCCCAAGCAAACTTTCTGGAAAAGTAAACACCTTGGAACTGCTACCACTGGTCCATGGCGTCAGGATGTTCTCTAACAGAATATAGCTGATTGCGTATCTCAAATAAAGTGAGTATATCGGGGCCTTAAAGCTGCAGACAAATGCGCGGTTATAACAAAAAGAAAGTTACCGTCCGTTGGTGTGGACACTAATATAGTTCTTGTTATAGTTAGCGCTCTTGGTGTGAACATGCCTTTACAGAGCGATGACCCCAAAACCCATTCTTGCGCTGTGTAGTGATTTTCAAACCTAAGACGCTCTTGATCAGTCCCTATGAGTTTTGCTCAAGGTATTCATCTATCATGGTGAGATTGTTCAGCCAGTCTTCGTTGTTGCCCACCAGAGTGTCTATGAAGTCTACCTCCGCACCGCAACCACCTCCTCCTCCAGGTCCTTGTAGCCCCGCTGCCATTGCCCCATTGCTCTGATGCTGTGGGGTGTAGTCATATGATGGCAGTTTATCTCTGGGGTTGTAGCCCTGTGATGAACAGTGTTTCCCTGCAGAA